GGGGGGGCTGCGCCCGGGGCGTGGGCTGTGTTTGCCGGGACCCTACCTTACTGCCCGCTGCCCCTCTCGGGGCCCGGCCCGCCCACGCCCCCCTCGAGCCCCTTGCTTTGCAATAGACAAAGACTGCGGTGCGTTTGAAAAACAAGCAAACCTTTTTGTTTTAATTTGAAGGGACATACACTATTATTATGACAAAGGCAAAGGCTTTGACACACAGCATTGCTTTGAACATTCGTAAACTTTCGCAAACTTTTTGTTTTTCATTTAACATGCAGATAACTTTAGTTACACTCGGTCACACTGTTGATTTTACGAAATTTGCTTGGTTAATTTTCTATTACAAAAGCGTTTTGAAAAAAAGAAACTCCGTTATTTTACGAATTACTTTGGATTTACATAGCAATTCGTCAAAAAATTTATGAGCTGGGAATTCATGATCGTTACGAAGTTAACAGTGTATTCATGCCAACGTTTTATGTTTGATACATAGAAAACCGCACACTGGAATAACAAAGGTGTGATGTACTACCTTTCCAGGGGTGTTAAACTCGTTTTAGGGGTGCTAAAGAGTATATTTTCAGTTTCTTCAAAATATTTTCAATATGAGCAAACCAATCACATTTTGAGATTCATTATCGCACTCCTCGTAAGATTCCGCGTCAAACGGGCCTGCATGTGATAGGGTTCGGATAAGCGGTCAGCAAATGAAAAGCAAGTCAAAAAGTACAAAAAATGAAATCAATCTATGCCATTTTTGAACAGAATCCCATCATATGTAGGCTCGTTTGACGCGGAATTTCGCGTAGATTACGAAAATACATAATCCAATGTTGTTCAATGGGAGAGAAATATTTCGAAAAAACATAAATTGTAATGCCTCTGGAGCTTTAACGCCTTTTAAAGGTAGGATATCCTAAAGGTAGGATATCCTACCTTTGTTTTACCGGTGCACGCAAAACGTACCAAAAATTATAGGAGGAAAAATGTTTTGATTTGAAGTAACACTTCACAAAATTGTGTGGATGTGTGGGTGGGGATGTGTGGGCCCCCACCTCACCACAACACACCCCGCCTAGCCTCACCCGACCACGGGCCACCGGGTGGGCCGCGGCGGGACATCGGGCTGGATCACTGCTGATCTCCGCCCCGACTCGGCTGCGCTCCCAGGGTCAGGGTTGAGCTTCGACCCTGGCCCTCGCCGTGTTTTTGGCCCCAGGGGCCAGAGAGCGTCGGGCCGGAGAGAGAGAGGTAGAGTGTGAGAGAAAATGGTGGCGCGCGAAAAGCTGAGGCTAAAAACTCTCTCCTCGATGCTGGGCAAGCTGAAGCTATGGTTCCGCACGTGAGCGCGTGAGCCTGTGCAGGGGGT